CATCTCCTGTATCTCCTTCCGCATTCCTTCACAGACTGCTTCAGGGATACGATAGGGGGGCCGTCGTGGGGGGTCTGTCCAGGGGTCTCTACCTTATGCACAGCTAGGGTGGTATAACCTGGTTCCTGGGAGAACGTCGCCTGCTTCTCCCATAACAATTGCTGCGCCTGTACCCTTTCTGTGGGGTTCAACCGGTCCCCAAGCTGTACCAGGGTAGTAAGGTCAGTCAGGGAATCCCTTTCTAATAGATCTGGAATGGGTAAATTCTCAGAATCATCTGCGGCTGGGGCACATACTGCTGCAATATTCTCAGGTCTCTCCTGGTACTCTTTCAGCATGTTCACATGAAAGGATCGCTGGATCCTTTCATCTGCACAGCTGGCTATCAAGTAAGTAGTGTTGCAGATCTGCGCCACTACCTTGTACGGGCCCTGCCAAGATGCTTGCATCTTGTTGGCCATCACGGGTTTGAGCACCAATACCTTTTGCCCAACCTGAAAGACCCGCTGTCGGGCACCCTGATCGTACCATCTTTTCTGTCTCCCCTGGGCCGCCTGGAGATTCTCCCTTACCATCAGGGACAGTTTCTCCATGCCGTCCCGGAGTTCCAGAACATATGGCACTATGGGGGTCCCCTCTTGCTCTGTCTTCCCCTCCCAGTGGCCTCTAATGAGATCTAGGGGTCCGCGGACCCTTCTCCCATACAGCAGCTCAAAGGGGGAGAACCCAGTAGATTCCTGGGGCACCTCTCTATAGGAAAATAATAGATGAGGCAGGAATCTCTCCCAGTCTCTGCAAGTGTCTGTAAAGGTCCTCAGCATCTGTTTGAGGGTACCGTTAAAGCGCTTGCAGAGACCGTTAGTCTGTGGGTGGTAGGGTGAGCTAAGTAACGGCTTAATGCCACACACCTTCCACAGCTGCTGGGTGAACACAGCGGTGAATTGGGTTCCCTGGTCGGAGAGAATCTCCTTAGGAAACCCGACCCTAGTAAAAATTCTAACCAGGGCATCAGCAACCGTCTCTGCCTCTATATTAGACAGCGCTACTGCCTCTGGATAGCGAGTGGCATAGTCCACCACGGTAAGAACGTATTTCTTACCTGATGGACTAGCCCTGGCCAGTGGACCCACGATGTCAACGGCTATGCGGGCAAAGGGCTCCCCTATAATAGGCATCGATAACAGCCTAGCCTTAGGGTGGTCCCCCCGCTTTCCTACCCGTTGACATGTGTCACACGTACTGCAATACATCCGCACAGCCTGGTTAAAGTTTGGCCAAAAGAAATTCTGTGAGATCCTATAGGCTGTGCGGCGGGACCCTAGATGTCCAGCTAACGGAACATCATGCCCTATCCGCAGAATCTCCTGCCGGTACTCGGCAGGTACCACTAACTGGCGATTCGGCGGAGGGGCAACACTCTTCTGGGAAGGCTTAGGGATCCTATACAACCTGTCCCCCACCCACTCATACCGCTCCCCATCTATTCCTTCGTCTCCAGCATCTGCCCTGTCTTTGTACTTTTGGAGGGTCGGATCTGCCCGGGTTTCCCTCCCAAACTCCTCTGGGGAATCCCAGCTTAAGGGGACCTGAGCTGGGATACCAGTCGGGGAAGGAAATCTTACCTGGGTCTCATCAGCAGGTGGGCTGGTTCCGGCAGCACGGGTCTGGGCACGGGTGGTCACTGGGTTCACATCTGCAGGGCCCATCGGAGCATAGGCTGAAACCAAAGGGGCCAAATCGTTTCCCAGAAGGACATCTGCGGGCAAGTCTTTCATCACCCCCACATCCACATGTCTAGCGCCCACTCCCCAATCCAAATGTACCCGGGCAACAGGTAAGCGAAACACGGCACCCCCTGCTACCCTTACTGCCACAGTGTCCCCAGTGTGTTGATGCTCTGAGACCAAGTTCTTTTGGAGTAGTGTCATCGTGGCTCCTGTGTCTCTCAGCCCATTTACCACTCGGCCATTCAGCTTCACGGTTTGCCGATGTTGCTGGCAATTATCCTGGTGAGCTGCTTGCACTGGGTCTGCCTCGTGTAAGATGCCCCAGAACTCCTCCTGCTCTATGCAGTGAGCAGCAGGCTGGGGCGGCCGCTGGTTCCCACTGGCTGGTCTCCTCCAGGACTGAGCTTGATTGGCATTGTTCAGTGGGCACTCGGAACGCTTGTGCCCCAACTGCTTGCACCCAAAGCACCGGATGGGTTGAGAATAATCCCGGGCATTAAATCGGGATGGATGTACATAATTGTTAGCTGGTGGTGCGGCTGGGGTACGGTGTACTGGGGGTTGGTAGGCTGAAGGAGCGGGTATTACTGCTGGTCGATACTCCGGTCTGGCAGGGGCTTTAGCAGCTGTACCATCCAACTTGCGGGCATCCGTGTATTCGTCTGCCAGACGGGCAGCCTCAGGTAGGGTAGAGGGTTTTCTATCTCTGACCCACTCCCGGACCCCAGCAGGTAGTCTATCAAAGCAGTGCTCCAACAGAAACACTTGTAACACCTCCTCCCCAGTTACCGCTTGGCATCCTGCCATCCAGTGGGCTGCGGTACGATGAACTCTGCAGGCCCACTCCACATAAGAGTCCCCAACCAGCTTATTGGTTTCTCTAAACCTCCGCCTGTATGCTTCTGGGGTCACCGCATACCTGGCTAGGAGTGGATCCTTCACAGCCCGGTAGCTGGTGATCTCCTCCTCTGGGATGGCCCGAAACGCTTCACTAGCCCGGCCGGATAATTTCCCAGAGAGGATGGTGACCCATTCATCTGCGGGTACCTGGTGTAGAGCACACTGCCTCTCGAAGTCTGCCAGGAACCCATCAATCTCTCCCTCGGTTTCCACAAAGTTTTTAAATGCAGCAAAGGGTACCTTCTTTCTAGCAAAAACATTATTATTGTATGGTACCTCTGCTGCTGCAGCTCCTCTTTCCCGGAGCGCCTGGTGTGCTGCTACTGCTGCCTGCACACGCTCCACGATGTCAGCTGAGGGGTTGGGGCCAAAATGTGCCAGCCTTATTTGCACTGCCTGGTTAAATAGTAATTCCTCGGGTGTTAAATCCAAGGTACTGGGCACATTGACTCTCTCCGTTCCCGGTGCTGCATCCATCTCCAGTAGCAAAGCAATAATCTCCTGTTTCTTTAAATTGCTTGCTGACCTTCCTCGGCGTTCCAATATGTCCTTAAGTGTAGCACGCCTTAATTCCTCATACTGCATGTCTTGTAGCTGACCTCCAATGCTGTGGGATTCATCCCGTCGCTTGCCACCAATTGTTAAGACACCTCCTGTGTCTTTAGGCAAAACCGCCATTTAGTAGACCTTACCCGGCTGCAGTAACAGTCTCCGTTCGCTTAATCTGTAGTATACGAACCAAATGCAGGGGAAGCGGCAATCTCCCGACCGAGCTCCGTGAACGTCTCCAAACTCCCGAACGGCAATACACGAACTGCTGCCAGCCGCCGAACAACAATATTCACCAAGCGGCTTCCGTTCCATCCAGCAGTCTCTAAACGTGAAGAAGAAATCCCCCCAATAACGAGACAGAAGCTTCGCATTGAGGGTCAAACAGGATCTGGCTTTACTGTGGGCTACCTGCCCGTATTTATGAAGGTCTCCCACCTGGTGGACACTCCCCTAGGGGACCAAATGGGAGACTTAAATGACAGACAGATATGGGGACATTTCAGACACACAGTCACAGATTTTACCCACAGTGCATTATGATTCCCTCCCCTCTGCCCTGGAGTTAATTACCAAGTAACTCAATTAACTCCAGGACAAAGCCAGTCGCCATCTTAAATATAAAACCATAAAAGACATAAAAATATATAACTGCACAAAAACCGAACATTTCCCATTCGTATCACATATCCCCAGATAGCCTGGATCTGAGAGCATATTATTAGTAAATAGTGCTCAGATCCCACACACATAGTTCAATCGCCATGGAGTCAAAGTTCTCACAGTCTTTCGGTATACGAATGACTCCATGGGAAGGCTATCTGGGTTAAGTCTTTTCGTATGCTCCAAATCTCCAGAACGGCCGATGTTCGTATGCTTTCGTGGAGGCAGCCAGGCGTTCCGTTGTTTCAGCGGTGTTCGGCAGAAAAAGTGTCCGTTTTTAGTTCCATTGAAATAGAGCCAAACACCGCTGGGCTTTCGCTTGGTTTAAAATGGCCGCTGCCTCGTGGTCGACATACGAACGACGACCACCCTGAATTCAGTTTAATTGAGAAGTGTCTGCGGTTAACCACAACGTTCTAATTGGGATCACTAAGTTAACCAGCAGCACACTCCTCTCCTGGGTGGCCGTTCGTTCGGCGGGTTTGTTCGGGAAAAAAGAGTCATTCGAATGGCTGGGCTATAGAAACCAGCCATTCATACGAACGGGAGACAAACAGACGAATGCAAGCAGACGGATGGTTCTGTCACACCAACCCTCACCTAACTCAGACTCCATGCAAGGAGTATGGCTGACTGACTTACGGGGGCGAGACCATCAGCAAGTTCCTCTCTTCCATTCGTACATTAACATGTGCAGGGACACTTCAAGATGGGTATTAATCATAGCAAAGCTAAGAATATATTGCTTCCCTAACTACACTGCGATTGACTTTTAAATGAAATGTCATGCTGCAGGAGAGCTGCTGTCCTTACCCGGAGGTCACGCAGTAGGAGGAGCTTTGTAGCGCTGTGTCATATTTAGGCCTGGCCAGTAGAATAGGTCTTTTTTGGAGGCATCAATTAAGATTTGGGTAGTGCTAAAGATTTTAAAGTAAAGAAACTTTAAGGGAGGTGTCTATAGGCTTGGTGGAAAACAAATATTAAAGGACAGAAGACTATAGGTCACAAGAAACGTTTGTAGATTAACCGACGGTTTGTGGTTGATACGTGCATGCAGTTATCAGATTTCTGTGCTGTGCAGCATTGTGGGTCCAGGCCACCACTATTGATTGGTGTATACCTGATCCATCTGTTGAGACTCAGTCTCTGACTGGTTTCTCACGTTTGTTCATTTGAGAATGGGGACGGGTTAACACAAATCAAAGAATTGGGATGGTTAGAGTTTGCATTGCTATAATTTCTCCTCATTTCCTTCTTATTGTGATTTTTAAAAAAAATTTTTTTAGTTTTTCACTAGTGTGTCAGCAGAATTGGACACGAGTTTGGTCAGCCAGAAACAGATACACAAAGCTCTCACCGAGTGTCCATCACTCCGGATCACCAATCAATCTCCTGGGAAAATCACAGTGACTGGATCTTACATCGACATAGAAAAATGTTACAACTATTTAATAGAACAAATAGGAGGAGGAGAAAATAGCCCTCCACAGCGTCAGGGAGAGCCTGTGTTTCTTTCAACACAGCTATATGAATATTTCAGAGTCATTTACTCCGAAGAAATAGAACGAATAAAACATGTGTGTAAAGTGGACTTTAAACACAAGCATGAATCGAATTATAATACCAGTTTAATCTTTGAGCCCCGAGGTTCGGATTCCGATACTGAGAAAGCCAATCAGCAGTTTACTGATATAATTCAAAAGATAACATCTGACTGGGCTCAAAAAGAAGCAAATCTCTCACCCCAAAGAATCCCCGGTGTAAAAGATATTGAACGATGTGTCAGGGAACATTTCAGTAAAACGTTTGTGATTGTAGATGAAAAAAAAGTGGTCTTACATGGCCCAGAAAAGGAAATTTTAGATGCGAAGAGATTCATTGAAGAAGGCCATATTAATTCCACCGTGTCTCCAAGGGCCATGACGATCTTACACAATGACACTGCAGCTAATCTGAAAGTAAATGCCAGGCATCTAAATATTGTAACAAAGCTAAAACATGGAGAAATGAAAGAAATTGAGGAGAAATATAATGTAAGGATAGAAGAGAGCGCTGTAGGTACTGATATCCAATTGAAATTCAGAGCAATGAATGGACTTCCTGACCTTGGACCTCATGCTTCCCAGATGTTCCTGAGTTTATTGCAGAGGACAATCACTAACACCACAAGGAAGGACATCAGTGTGACACCTGGCACTGAAGACAGACATTCTAGTGTGTTTGCTAAAAGTCTTCAGCCAGAAAAACCCAGAATAACTAATAAAAACGACGGGCAAATCGCCATCCCCCAACCTGCCAGCCAGGTATCAGCCATTGGAAATGCTGTTAATCCCTCACTAAAGCCTGATGGTGGCTGCGCAAGAGCTGCTAACTCAGCAAACTTGGAAGAACCTATGGATACCAGCGAGTCCTCAGCCTCTGCTACTAATAAGGACTCAGATTCCAAGGATGACACATGCCCCATATGTCTGGATACATTCACTGACAAAGAAATACTGGATAAATGCAAACATGCGTTCTGCAAGACGTGTCTGCAAGAAAGCATGGCGCATAAACCCGTCTGCCCAATCTGCAACGTTTTGTATGGGGTCATTATCGGGAGCCAGCCGAATGGCACGATGACACATAATGTAATACCTCTTAAACTGTCTGGATTCACCTGCCAAACCATCGAAATTAATTATTCTTTCATCAACGGCATCCAGGGGGTAAGTGACATCACCTGCCTTTTTTATGGCTCTAAATTATCAAATCGATTTACTTTATATAAGTAAAAAGATTCAGTCTAAACACCACAACCACTTACTGTCACTGATAATAGTGATTTATAACTGCATCTACTTCTAAATATAGTCTCAGCTATAGGACAGCACATATAACCTGGCTTTATACACTCTGAGCTACCGGAGTTAGAATATTAAAAGCGAGCATTGACTGTACACCAACTAGAACTGAGCTTTCTCTTGTCCCTGGGGACCGGGCTAGATATAAAGTGATAACAGCTGTGAGATTACTGAACAGTTCCAATCATTCTGTGTGGCGAGTGAAACAGTTCCTGGGGGATAAACAACGGATAAGAGCAGATACGTTAAATACGTTACATAATTATTGAGCGGTCTGCGTGTTACTGACAGAATTCGCTAAACACTGAATTCTGGACAAAATGTTACCGTTTTGAGAATTCACACATTCCAAATCTGGTTGAAATTCTGTCTTTACAACCAAATCGGCACCATTGGGCCAGATGCCATCAGTGTCCGTCTTCTCACATCCAAATCCCGTAGAAAGTATAGGATATGATAAATTTACAAAGCACCAATTTTAAACAAAATTGAGAGCAAATGTATCTAGCAGGATGTACGTTTGAAAATGATTGTTTGCTTTTTACATGGCCCTCCTGGATTATTTAATATTCCTGAATTACCACCCACAAGTGCTAGCTGGGGGGGGGAACTGGTATGTCTCCTCACCCCCACTGTATACATATTAGGGCCCCCACCCACTGCCAATGAGTGGGGGTTGGTGGCGATGCTGAATACATTATTGTCCCCACCACCCAACAGACTTGTTCACCCCATGTATTACCTAAATCCCACAACCAGACAGTGACCTGTCCTCCCTCCATTATTACGGTTTATCCCCCCCTCTGCCTGGAGCCACAGGTGGGACACTCTATCTCCCTACCCTGCTCTATCGGACTCTAACCCAGTCTCCATTCCTTAAAAATAAATCACCGTACACTCACTTCTTTTCTTATTTTAATAATCTTTATTACATTTTAAATATACACATAACATATATATGTAAAACAAGTATAGATATCACACTAAACAAGACAACATACAATTTACAAAACTTTTCATTTACATTTATGAGACAAGACTGTTACGAGCCATGAAGAAGACAAATCCTAAAAATAGATAAATAAATATATAGTGTTAATGTTTCTGGAGACATTCCAA